CCAAGAAAATATGTGGAAATTTCACCAAAAAACAGCAAAAAGATCCAGCAGGCAGGGCTAAGGGCAGAAAGCACTTCACTTGGGTCTTCACGATGTCGCTCCCCGCCGGTCTTCGTCTTCTGCAGGTGCGTAGATCTCGTTCCAAACTTGATTTAGCACCTTTTTCCTTTTTCTTGCCTGCTACAGTGAAACCCCGACACACACACACCCGCCGGCCTTATGCCTTGCCGACTTTCTTCCACCACCGCAGTGCAACGGCTTCCAGCTCCGATACCAGTGAAATGAACCTCTCAAGATTCAATCTTAGAATATAACATGCAAATTGAGAGCAATCAGATGAAGTTCACACAAGCTGGAGTGATGTCCATGAACAGTGCAAATTCGAAGTTCCACTCAAGGTGCAATAATATACAATTGGAAAAGTTTGAGAATAAGCGGTTTGAACCGCTGCAACAAGCCTCAGGTATGTAACCAACTTCCTCCTCCCTCGGCTGCTTATCTTCTCTCTTTCTTTCTTTCCCTGTCTCTCTCGATAGTCTCTTTCTCTCTCTCTCTCTTTCTCTCTCTCTCTTGCACTGTTCCTCCCTCACTGTTCCTCACTGACTGTTCCTCTCTCGACGTCCTAGATCTACCCTGAATGCTACTACGGTGTGCCTTACTGATCCTGGGTGGCTATGGCCACCGGGGAACCTCTCCCCTCTCGCCTGGCTATGGCTGACTGTAGCAGCCAGGCACTGCGCACTTCTCCCCCCTTGTGTTCCTTCTTCGTCCAGGTCGCTTGATCGCACAAGCTCTCGCAACGCTTCCACAATTCTGCGAAATGAACAAGTGACCCTTTTGGCACTGTAGTCCAATATATATAGTTGCAGTGGACTGTTTCGTTCCTGCTTCAGTCGGTACTGGCCTCCTTCGGCCTCTGCCTTGCCAAAATGCTATTTTGGGAAAATTCCCAACTTTCTTGTGAGGCTGCTGCAAAATTGTACTTTTTGGGGACTTGACATGCTCCTACAGGTACTGTACGGTACTGTAGCCAACCGGCCTGCGACGCCTGATCCTACAGGCCCTAAGATTCTAATCGACGGGGGCCTGGGACTGGGATGATGTAGAACCCTGTAACCGGGACTGGGAAAGCTTGCAGTGTGAATCCATTCAAATTACATAATTAAAAAAAAGTCATGGGGAGGCCTTGACATTATCAATCATTTTACGAACACAATCTATTCTTCAACCGTTGCGTGTGTCTAGTGTACCATTCTACCACCATTCAGCCACCTGGCTGGTTACTAAAAAAAAGGAAAAAAAAAAAAAAAAAAAAAAAGATGTGTGTTGCTATTGCTCTCACTGTACGTCAATTCCACAATAACAAGGGCGGCTGAACGGGGTACAAAACGGACAAATTTCAGCCTGATGGAAGAAGGAAGCGAGTGTGAGCAAATGGCATTTTTTTCAGCCTAATGGAAGGAAGCTTGTGTGTGCAAAGTTGCAAACTGTCGTGAGTCTGTCGTAGCACCATACTAGCACGTACGATTGGGCTACAACCAGGTACATAGCAGAGCGGCAGAAGATGGAGTCCTTTTTCCTTCAAAACAAAAAGAGAAAGAAAATTAAACTTTTTCTTGTTGTTGTTATTGCGTTTTTTTTTTTTTTTTTAATAGAAAAAAACAGAGAGGGGCACAGAAGGCTAGAAATAGGGAGCATATATGGCTATCGAGATGGCTATAGGCAAGACATAAAGAGGTTCCAAGGCGAGCCAAGGCTTGTGTAAGCTAAACTGGGTAATGCTCCCAGGATAACTCCAGGTCGAATTGTGAGGTTCCCGACCTCAAACTTCTTTTCAATATATTGAACTGTTTTTCAAACTTTTTAAAGTCTTTTTTGAAGTTTTTTGAACTTTTTCTAATAAGCTTTTTTCAATTTTTTCTTGTTTTTTTTTTTCTTGTTTCTTCATTTTTTTTTCCGGTGGGTTAAGAGGGGGAGGTGAAGATGGAGAAGGGAACCGCAGGCACCGCTTCCTGACATGAAGATAACCCGCACTGCCGATCCTTTACCTATCTTCTAGAACATCGATGAGGCCGGGTGTGCGCGCGCAACCACCAACCTGCATAGCACAAGTGACATAACCATTGAAATCAGAAGACAGGAAAACAGTACTTCACCTGCATGTATTAACTGTTAATAATAAATAAACAGATCGTGAGTGCAAACCGTGGTGCAGTCAGATGAATAGCGGTGAGGGTTGAGGCGTTCGCTTGGAAGCCGGAATTCCTGGAAAAAAGAATATCACTGGTGTCTACGATACTAGAAACTACCTCACAGGGAACATAAATCAAGGGGTAGTCAAGTAGAGGCAAGTCAAACACAGGCATAGCACAAGCATAACGGTCTCATGGAGGAAGGGGAGTCAGGCAGACCTAGGAAGCTACCAAGGATGGATCAAAGGAACATAACGCAGCCAGAAGTTAACTTCTTGGAATTTAAACGGGATGGTAGGGATTTTGGAAAATCATGATAAATGGCAGAACGTGTTAAATTATACGGATTGGTTCGCCCCCTCTCCACCGGACTTTATTTGTATTCAGGAAACGCATCTGAAAGAATCAATGGAGCATCAGAATATTAAAAACAGGATAATAC